GAGGTGAAAACATCGCAGTTTGTATTGTTATTCGTAGCGAAGGAAACAAAAAAGCACCGCCTTCGTACTTGAAAATCAGCGCAGACAAACTCATGGGCTAACAGTCGCCAGTGTTCGGCGTCGCAGTCGTTAACGCGCTTATGTTCCTGCCGAACGCCTTCAGTTAGAATGTTTGCGAGTGGTTTCACAAGAATTGCTGGGACGAGGGTCTTTAGTGAGGCTGAATATTTTGCGAAGTGATGTAGCGCTGTGGTTTGGTTCTTATGCGTCGTGCAGATACATGATTCCTTAACTTCTATTTATTCCGTAGTTGCGATCAAGGTGAATGGTACCCAGTAGCAGGTCCAGGGGCACTACACGGAGCTACTGAATGTCCTGGATCGCTGCGCATCGGCTACCCATGACACAGACTGGCAATGATAATCAGATCGCTGCGCATCGGCTACCCATGACCAGACTGGCAATGGTAATTAGATCGCTGCGCATCGGCTACCCATGGCAATGGTAACCAGATCGCTGCGTATCGGCTACCCATGACACAGACTGGTAATGGTAATCAAAGACATTAAAACGCCTGTATAAGTTGAATGCCTTATTATCTAAGCTGAAGGCCGTATCATCAACGAGATGGAGAACCAGACGAGAACCAGTCTACCACTGCTTGACCTTGCCTTCTTAGGCTGGTACGGGTAGCCTGCTAGCTTGACGTAACAACCCCCTCCCCCGTTTCCGTGATGTCCCAGTTCGACAGCGCTCTAAAGTTCCACTCCGTGCGTAAAGCCGCTGCTGGGTCCTTGCATCGGGAGTGATCGGATCGAGCTGGTTGGTTTGAACTCAGTGGCGTTGTTTGGAGATCGTCGGTAAGAGACAGTACCTAGTGAGCATAACTCAAGTAACTCGTAAGTAACTCAAGTAAGATCGACACACTGTTTTGTCTGACGGACAAAAAGAAGTCGTGTGTAGCCACAATAAGGATTGCTTTCAACAACACGCCAAATGCACGCGTGAGCACTCCAGCAAGCCAGTGGAGACAGATAATACTTGTAGAACATCGTGGGGACTCCCAAAAGTGCGGAAATCTGCTACTAGCCTGGGTGTGAAATTCGGAGCTTCCCACAATCGGTAACCAGTGAAGTCAAATTAATTGTCTCAAAATTGCCTGGCTGTAAATGGCACTGTCGGCATGGGCTGAGATGGGTATGACTGCGGCGTTCTGTTGGCACTTCCATTTTCAGGCCATCCGACTCGGATGACGCGTTTGCGTGTTGGTAAAACTATCACGTATCCTGACTCGACGATCTATCAAATAAGGTGGCTATCGGGGAACATCAACGGGCCTTCATTGGATACCAAAAGCCAGTGATACCGCCCTTGGTATTCAAGCGTGGTTCTGGCTCTGGTATACATTATCTAAAAGCTGTTGGGAGCAAATTGTTACACGATAAGGGACGTGCCTAGCAAAAACACGTCTAAAATTAAATCCTTCCGGTGGTGAGATAGGTGGCAACGCTATCATACGGTGCCAACGACACATCCAATGGCATGGCAGGGGTGTGAAAAGGGCGTGGATAGTCCAAACGTGCACAGAATGTTGTAAAGGGAAACCTCATCGTATGGTTTATGGCTCAATCATGTCATTGCTTAAAGTATTTGGATATCATATTGCGGTCAGTTGAGCTTTGTTTGTGCTTCGTTTGATAATGACACACACCCTATTGATGACGCCGCGGGAAAGCTTTTTTGTCTTTTAGAAAATATAGAAGAAAAATGATTTCTTCTCCCCTTTTCGTGCTTTTTATCTCGACCCGATGAAAAAGAGCAAACAGTAACCTTAATAAACACTTAAATTAAGTCCACTGTGAAACTTAACGTGCTAGAAATGCGCAGTGCGCTTCTGGATATATGTTCATACACCTGATAAAACCATTGCAATATTCCAATCGGATAACCAGCAGAACAACGTTTTAATGAGACGCATTGTTCTAATTAGTTACCTAAACGAAAAAGACAGGTCCTGAATATTTGGGGCATGATACAAATCTGAACATCGTGAGTCCCAAACCTCAATGATCAATGCTTATCAGTTAAATGCTCCCACAGTGAAGACTGCACATGTAAGGACTCTTGATCTTTTCAGCAATCAATGTCAAGACCGTGTCTACTACGATCAACTGTAAGCTGGCCCAGCAGCTTTGCGAAAAGGACCGCGCCTGTCACTCCATCACTTCGATCATCCCCAGACTCTGCGGCCAAGAACTGGGTAGGTACCCGGCGTACTGTTCTACGATTGTGTGGCATTGATATAATGATGTTTTTGGATGTACGTATAATATGCGCCGTTTGTTTCCTGTTGATATCTAGAACCATGGAAATTTAATACCACTAGATCCGAAACGACTATGTCCAGAGTGTGCTTGGCCAAAGAGGGACGTCGTACATTGCATTAAACTAAGTCGATAAGCATAAGCCGCCGGGGTATGGCTTAATGTTAACAGCTACGACGTAATCAAATGAACCGTTGATTTCAGCTGATGAGCGCATGCTTTTCACAAAAGGGAGCTTTCGGGTTGGGTTATTCGTGACTAGCTCGGTTTGCTTTAGTTTGTCCAGCTTGCCTGCGAGTCCACACCATTTTACACCTGATGACTCTCTTTCGATTGCACACGTCTTGTAGTAGTTTGACATCGGATCAGGTGCTGCCAATCTAGTGGCATTGGATACCTGTGTGTAGAACAACATTGCTACGTTCAAAACTAAAGGAGAGTTAGCTACGTATGTACCGCTGTTCACCTGGTATCTGCATGCTTGATGGTATAATGCGTATGTGTAATCTTAAGTTCAAGGTTGTTGCGTGATCTGCGATGGACGGATTTGCATTTTAGCTATTCTTATTTTTTCATTCATTTCATTCATATCATTAGCTATTATTTAGCTATCATATAGCATACAGCATTTAGCACGGACCGATCGCTGTTTGCCTGGTATGGTATTTTGCGATGATAGAGCTGGATGACGCTGTCGACATGGTGCTGACGATGTCGTCTGAGCATTGCCTGGTGTCACTTGACACCAGTATGACTGTACTGTGTTTCAGTGTCCTGCTCGACGGTGACGGTCACCAAGTGTCGAGCAGCTCTCAGGACACTGGTGGCGTTTCAGTTCTTCCAGCCCACCTGTCTGTGTAAGGAACCTCGCTTGGATCCAGAGTGCAACAAGTACAGGAACCTGGTGTTCGACCACCCCTGCTTCAGCGTCAAGCTCAAAGGTAATGCCAGTATCAGGGAGTCATTGGACAGAACATTGGACCTTACAAAGCTATTCAAAAGAAGTTTCGTATAGCGTTTTACAACGTTATAAGCTTGCACAGCTTCTTGCTTGTCAGGTTGGAACGTTTGAATTGCTCTCAATGTGCGCCCTTTTCATTCTTGCAGTCTCAAGAACGATGACGTTGCTCGGCCTCGTCCGCGCTGCGGTTTTAGATCGAGATGACAGTTTTCGTTTAGGATTAAATCGCTCGCTGGATCTCTTCTGTTGACTTCCGTTATCCGTATTTTTCGCTTTGCAGACAAGGACCCGTACCCGGTTCACGCGCTGCCCACATGTGGGTATGCCCTTAACGCCTGTCGGCAGCAGCCCGAATGTTCAAGCGTGTACGAGAATTACATCAAGTCGTGTCGCTTCGAAGCAGGCACGTGTCGCATGGCAAACAGGTGAGACGAGCCTGACCTAACCTAGTCAGGGGTACTCTGCGGCACGAGCAGTGGGGTGCCATGAGAAGGAGCCCTTCCATCAAGCCGCAAACTGCTTGGATGTATGCTGCGTTATCAAGTTTGGTGAGAATACTTTCTGGTTATGTGGGCCTAAGTGATCAGGTTCCAAACGTTAAGTGCATGCCTATCGTCACTTTGTGGTCGTCAGTGCTCCTACCCCGCGATGAAGCATCGGCTTCAAAGCTACCAGTACTCAGTGCCTTCAGATCTCCTCAAGCACACACCTTGAACCACCTTGAACCACCTAGATACCTCTTCTAAGGAAGAGGTCACTGGTGTTCATTTCGGATCACTGACCTTATTGACCTCCAGAAGGTCAAAGTGACAGAAAGCCTTTGAAAGTGTGTTGATATTTGAATTTCGGTAAGTGTCACGGTCCACGCTAGGCGGTATTTTATTAAAACAATAGCTTCATCGCATCATTTTAGGTCAGTGATCTCCACCTTTCATCAAGCCCAAATAAGATGCCTGTTGACGTCTCTGTTGTGAAAAAAATCGAAATGAGCGTCAAAAGCAACCCTACGAAACACGTTCTCCGGTAAAAGGACGGTTTGGTTTGACCACGGTCAGATCTTTATACCTGACTCAAGGCCAAGCAAACTAGTCGTAGTCCTGAATCCAATTACCCGATTTCTGGAGAAACTATCTCAAAGATGCAAGGCTTCATCTAATGGTCTTTTCTCGCATCGGATTGAACGATTCCCTAAGGAAATTCCTCGCTCACAGTCATGGTCTGACCCCGACCTGTCATAGGTCAGCGATCTTACAGCGGGCAGCTAATTTGTACACAAAAAGATTGGCTATTCAATTTTCTACAGCCGCGCAAAGCTTAGCGTCGCTGCTACGCACCGTTCTGCAGTTATTTTTGACAAGCCTGCGCCAATTGGCCATTCCCAAGCCCGTGTCAAGAACCACGACATACACGTGGTGAGCGTATGTCGCGCATATGCGTATGCCGTCATAAGTGCATAGATGTGTTTGTGTGTACGCTTGTGAATGCGCATGCATGTTTAGGTATATATATATATATATATATATATATATATATATATTATATATATATATGTATATATATATATAAATATAAATATAATATATATATATATATATATATATATATATATATTAGATATATAGAGAGAGAGGGAGAGAGGAGATGATATATATATATATATGTATTATACATATATTATAATATATATATAGATATATATATCTCTCTCTCTCTCTCTCTCTCTCTCTCTCTCTCTCCTCTCTCTCTCCTCTCTCTCTCTCTCTCTCTCTCTCTCTCTCTATGGCTATCTTTGAACTCGTTAGAGTTCATAGATAGCTGTTTGTCTCATTAATATTGCGTTGACATAAAGTGTATGTGCCGACTCCATAACTGAATGGCTTCCAAGCTCAAAGCGCTTCTGAGTGATCTCCAACCCTTGATGAGGTTTACATGGAGGCCATGCGATGACAAACACGCACTACGCCCCTCGCTAGATCATAACACCAGAAATATAGGTTGGCACGGTCGTTATAACGTCGTGTTATCATTGTACAACGGATATCGGTGGCACTTGAATTCAATATTAAGTGTCCTTGTGTGCCATCTTTACCGAGATAAGTCCATGAAACATTTGCAAACGCGTGCCAATCCATCGGAATTTATTAGTATGGCGTGCTGGAGCTGTTATTTCATTCATTTCATTTGAGCAATTTGTTTTATGCACGGTTTTGATTGCAATTGGAACATCGAGTTGACACCAACCTGCACAACCTCTGAGTCTCGTGTGTCTGATAGGTTCTTGCTATGCACGGCAGAACTAGACCGCAATGCGTGGCATTTTTACCAACATTTGCGCCATAGCGTATCATCATTGGCGGATGTCTATAAATTCTGTAACGTCACTTCGGCTCACCGAACCGATCATCGACATATATGGAGCACGACCTGAATCGATCGTGTCTAGCTTGCCATTCAGCCGGGGGGGGGGGGGGGCACTCCGGCCTATTCCATTAGCATCAGCGCTTGATTTGTTGACTGGATGAGGCCTGATCCATGCAGTGCACAATACTGAACATTTACTCTCACAAAACAAGATGTTATCACTGTACGTCAGGTAGAGGTTAGAGGGCTGGGGGCTGCTGTTATAGGTAAAACAATGTTGTTTTTTGTATACGCAATCTCAGAGAAGAAGATGGTGGAACACCATCAGTAAATTGTGTCGTCCATGCAAGCTACGCTGTACGCCATATCTCATGTAATCATTTTGACTTAAACACAACGGGAATTACAAAACGTTTGCACTTTATATGATGGCGATTACACATCAACTGTAGGTTATTTGATAAATTCTAGTTTTATCGTGCGCACAAAAAGCGCGTTTGACTAAGATTAACTGCGGTGATCAGGCTTAACACATCGATCCTATTATATATCTCGAAGTTTATCACACAAAGGTCATTTCCAATCACTAGATCACATTGTTTTACATGGTGGCTTTGGAACCATTATCCTTGGTATGCATAGCTCTTACAAATACTTTTGCTTTGCCACTTCCGTAAAGCCGTTTAAACTCACGGCTTATTAGGTGCTATAGGTCTTGGTCAGTTGTCAGTTGGCCATCAGTCTTCTTACCCTAGCGCGGCTTCTTGGACTAGATTATACATGTTCGCCACATAGGGGTGTGCGCTGCATTATGCCATCTCAGCTACAGCAACAGCACTTCGTTTATTAAATGGAGACATAAAAATTGGGAAAGCTAGCCTGCCTCACCCCACTCCCTGCCTTCCCACCTGAGTCAGACCCAGTAGTCATCCCCAGATAAAGCACTCTCTCCATGCATATCTAACTTTTCGTCTTTGAAAACCACTTATGTTCGAATTTAACACTTTTGAAATTTCCGTTAATAAACCTGTTAGTCAACTCCCATCGTGTAATCGCTCTTGGCATTACATCATCCGCATACCTCGCATACCTCGCATACCTCGGATACCTCGGATACCTCGGATCACCCGTCTCGTGCTGGCTATCGGCGCCTTACCGAGCCTCACGACCACATACGTGCTCCAGCCAGCGGGCGTAGCTCACGCCGTCGACGGGCACCCACTCGGTGGCCGGCTAGTGACGGTCGAGCAACGTCCGAGAGCGGCCGGTCGACCAGTCGGCCACAGCGGCTGCACGCGCCACCGACCGTCAACAATTCCATCAGCCGCCCTACGGACGTCCGGGCTGGACCAGAACGGCGCCACTCCAGCCGCCTTTGGCCGGCAGACACGCCTCTCCCTGCGGTCGTCCTGACCAGACCATGACGGCGTCGCTCCAGCCGCCTCTGACCGGCAGACACGCCCCCCCCCCCCCCCCCCACCCCCTGCGGTCGTCCGAGCCAAACCAGAACGGCGTTGCTCCAGCCGCCTCTGGCCGTCAGACACGCCCCACCCCGCGGACGTCCGGATCAGGCCATAACGGCGTCGCTCCAGCCGCCTCTGACCGGCAGATACGCCCCCACCCCCTGCGGTCGTCCGGGCCGGGCCGGGACGGCGTCGCTCCAGCCGCCTCTGACCGGCAGGCACGCCCCCCACCCCCTGCGGTCGTCCGGGTCGGACCAGAACGGCGTCGCTCCAGCCGCCTCTGATCGGCAGGCGCGCCTCTCCCCGCCCCGCCCCGCTACCAAACCCGCGCAGCAGCGGCCCGGGTGTCGTCAGATCGGACTATGCTGCGCGCAGGAGGCGATTTTGAGGCATTCTCTATGCGCTTCGCATAACCATGATCTGCACTGGCGTTTGAGGCGGTGTCTCAGCCTCGGTGTATCTGTGCCAGTTCAGTCGGCTCTGGGTGCGGCCTGGACACGCTGTTGACGGCGTTTCCGGCCGATACGCGGCCGGTGGCGCGTGTCGGCGCGGGCCTGATGAGTCCGGTGCCAGCCGGTGGCGGCGCGGCCGGCCGCCGCCGGCACCGACACGGCTCGCGGCTGGTCGCCTGCTAAATGGCGGGCATTACGCGCGGCGCTGACAACGCTGCCAGCTCGGTTTAGTTCGCCGCCCGGTTCGGGAAGTCGTGCGTGGCGTCAGCGCCGAGCTTCCGACAGCTCCTGAGCTTCCGAGTGGCTCCGAGCTTCCGAAAGCTTTTGAGCTTCCGAGTAGCTCCCGGTCACACGGGTCGATTGGTGTGCGAGGGCTTTTGTCGGCGATGCGGCCACGCAGAATGAAGGCTTCTGTCGGCGATGCTGCCGCGCATAATGAAGGCTTCTGTCGACGATACTGCCACGCAGAATGAAGGCTTCTGTCGGCGATGCTGCCGCGCATAATGAAGGCTTCTGTCGACGATACTGCCACGCAGAATGAAGGCTTCTGTCGGCGATACTGCCACGCATAATAAAGGCTTCTGTCGACGATGCTGCCGCGCAGAATGACAGCGGTGTCAACGGAGATTGAAGCTCCTAGAGCTAGTCAAACAGGACCTGATCAGTCGTCATGACAACTCAGAGAGCCACATCTCATGTTACAAGGTTGTGTATTCACCAACAGCTCATGAACAGTTTACGGACTGATATCCATTTATATTTGTGTTCGTTTTGGGACTCAATCACTGGCCGGGCAGCTGTTCGTGAACACGATTGTTTACGAACAGTTCGTTCGTGTCACTTCATATGTTATGAAATTGGCCAACACAGAGTGTCTTGTATATACATATATATATATATATATATATATATATATATATATATATATATATATCGTGCAGTATCATTAAGTATCTCGATTTCCATCGAAATTGATGGATGGATGTTCTTCCTTTCAGCCCATCCTGTTTTAAGGCGTGGAATGACTTGAAACTGAGCCCAGTGTTTGGCTGCATTTGCCCAAATCTGCACGAGGCGAACTGTGACAGCATATTTGAGACGGTCCACAAGAACCCGTGTGTCGGTAAGTCCATTCAGGTTCAGTCAGTAGTGTGGCTACGACACCTGTCTCGAATCGAAACCTTCATTGCTAGGCACCACTTATACTCTGTAGGAAATGCTGGCATCGCTGCAGTGCTTTCTTCGTTATAATGAATAAGAGAATGTAACGCAGCGTTACATTCTCGTTTTGTCTAAGGTAAGCTGAAACGCATTCAAAACAGCGTAAATGCGTATCTCCAAAGTATTAATGCTGTGATGGTGCCTCGTTATCGGTACGTAGGTGTAATGTCAAGCCGCGTGGCAGTAAAAATCGTGTTGCCTAGAATGTCACCCCACCTCGGCGCAATGAAAAAATTGTACCCCTTGTGTGCCTACACTGTCCCTATGTACTGAAGTGACTGCTGCGATTAGCATGTCACCAAACTCATTTTGTACCCAATGGCTTCATGCAGCTCCATGATAATTGCGCTTGAATCAGCTCCGTGCGACCTGTCAGCCATCGCACGTGAAATGAGCAGATGGTGGTTTTGTTTCAGACCGCCTGCCCCGGCACCAGACCAGCACCACCCGGCACCATTCGCACATGTGGGCACACCGCCTTCTGCACGCAGCACCAGGCACCCTTTGGGGGCCACTGCCATCCGTCCCCCGTCCAGGCCCTGCTGACCCCGCCGCCAGCACCATTCCCAGCACAAGGATCGTACCACCCGTCCCCCGTCCCCGCCCGGCTGTCCCCGCTCCCGGCATCCCTGCACGCACCCCCGCTGCAGCCGGCAGCCCCGGCCCTCGGCGGCCGGCCGCCTCGTCACCGTTCAGTGTTTCAGTGGACGGTCTGGGCGGCGCCAACGCCAGCCGACGCCGCGTCGACCCGCTGCTGGTGGCGCCGCTGTTTGACATGAGCTCTGAGCGGCCGCAGCCGTCCAGCATGGAGCGGACGCTGCATGGACACCACTACGAACAGGGGCACAACTCCATCCCCGGGCGTCATCAGACTTCCACGCGTGAGTGGAATTGACACGCTGGCGCGCTGGAACAGGCCTTTGTATTGTAATATTCACCTATTCTTCGCTGATGGGCTCGGTCAATTCTTGAGCTGTGGGTTGGATAAAATATGCAATAAGTTTGCAATCTTAGGCTACCCTCGACTCCTGATGCGGCATCGCAAATGAAATCCTTTTAAAGGCACAGCCTCATAAATATTGGTCTCATTTCGTGTCCATTCCATTTTCTCGCGAACTATGCATGACAACGGCCCCACAAACAACCAGAAAATGCCGCACTGTGTTACACCGTGCCTACTGCGGTAAGTTATGTTGTACCTGACAATAGCCTAATGTGAGAAGCAGAAGCACATTGGCAGATTGACGATTTACTTTAAATTCCACCAAGTCGAGATGGGATGGAATTTATGCAACGCCTCTCGCGAAAACTCATCGCGAGTGCATCATGTTCGGTTATAAAATGGAGATCGTGGTAGGAGAAACAAGGAAGGACGATTCAGAAGGCATCCGGATGATTGACAGTGCAAATATGGCGTCCACACCGCACCGCTAGACTGCACCGCAAGACACGTCGTGTGGTGTATTGCGGTGCAGCATACATCACTTGACCGGACGTTGGCTGGCCATCCGTCGCCCGCATCACTCTGGGCACGCATTGCCACTGGCTTGATGGATTGCGGACATAACAGTACACGGATGTTTAAAACCAGATTGCCTGTTGAAGTCACCTATCAGAAAGACCCTAAGCACAGACGTGCCGTAACTAACAGGTATTTGAAAAGAAGTTCCCTCCAAGGGATATAACAGCACACACGATAGACCTAATGCTATTCGTGTGTTTGAGTCATCCGTGAAGAGCTTAGTAAGTCGGTTTACCATCACAAATCACGACTGCGATGCAGTGGTCAAAAAGACCACAGGATTATATCAGAAAATTGCTGTTTTTTTGTCAAACCGTTGTGTCGATTTCTTTCGAGCGGCAGCCGTCTTCCGCGGATCCATCGCTTCTGTGCTACCTGGGTCTCCCCCTTCTCCCTTCTCCACTGCCCTTGCTTCTTTCAGTTCAAAGATGTAAGAAAACTTAGCAAGTCAAAGCATTCCAAGGATGTCGTGGGTTCAGATATCTAGTATGAGCCGCAAACATAACGTTGAACCGCTTACCCAGACACAACGAAGACGGCCCACAGAACCTTCCGCGTTGTATCATAGCTCTCATTCGAGCTCCTCTGACCGCTGGCAGCTACATCACACCATAACTCATTGGACTGCTCTATATGGCGTTTCCTGTTCACAAGGCTATGCCGGCGATGAGCTTTTCGCACCAGGTTTGGCATATTCTACAAGTGCAGTTTAGGTTATCACAATTGTAGCTACGCAAAATAAGACCTCTCGTAAGCGGTGACGTTCTAATGCCAGATGGCGAGTAAATCCTTTAGGATGTTGAGAACAATGAGCAACTAAATGGAAACGCAGAACGGCTCAAAACAAGAGGACGAATAGACAGAAGGTTAGAAAGTCAGCGCGTCACCAAAAGCGGAAAATGCTGTGCTGTCCCGACATCATATTTCGCATTTAAACGGGGTCGCATGACAAATCCACATGCATTTGTGTGGCTGTTCCAGATCACCACGTGACCGGGGTCACCAGCGTTCCTGGAGACGACGTATTCCAGTCCTCCTGCCACACCGCTCTGGACAACTGCCTGCAGGACGACTCCTGCAGCGCCCGGCTGGAGCCGGTGCTGGCCGACTGTGACGAGACGGCCTGCAGCCGGCACCTGTGCATGCAGCGGCTGCAGCAGTTCTACGCTCAGGCCGACAGCGTGCTCGTCATGGACGCCGCCTTCTGTGTCTGTCGGTGAGAGACGATCGGGACCCTGGAAAATTGTTGAGCAGTGACGGTTTTAGACAAGCACTGCTGGAGCTTTATGGCTGCCAAACGATAAACACCCTTAAAAGGGATGTTCCACATTTGGTGATGCTGAAACAAGCATCAGATATGCTGAAATAAGCTCACTTATAACTATCGGTATACTTTTCAGTAAAGTTGACTGCTCTGGACAACACAATTTCCCTGTTTAGTGAATATGTTCCTCAATGCGTCATTGTTTGATTGCGTCATCGTACGCTGCACAACACTGCTTGAGAGCCAATTGACAGCCGGTTTATCTGGAAATCGTACTCACTAACGCCAGATATGAACGACTCGACAATTGCATTTTTGGCCTTCATCGCCGCATGGCTAATGAATGACAGAATTTGAATAAGGTTATTATGACGTCGTGGATATCTGTGTGACCTTGTCTATATATAAATAATCTCTCTGAAATAGTCTGCACGTCTTCGCGGCTGTGGGGCTTAGAAACTAGAAGGGTTTAGGTCTTAAAAAAGGTTCGGCTGTACGCTACACCGACTGGTCTTTTAGATGGCTATTCCAGTTCAAACCCATATACAAATGTGGAACGCTTCCTTTAATCTCGGCTATTTTCTTGAATAATAATGTTGCATGCATTCAGGAGTACGCATTGTAGAATGCAGCCCCTCCGTTACTGTGTCTACATAGCTATGTCGTCGTGTAAGCCCGCCTGTATCTGTGCTTCTCTCATGGCATATTTCATTTTTCCCCATATGCGTACATACCTTACGCATCCATAGCACTGCGCCGGATATCTATCCAGTCCCATTCAGCTCAGCATTTTTAGGCCGTAAGCGCGTGGTCCACCGGTGCAAGTCGTGTTACAAGCTTCACAAGCTTTGTTCCTGACTGAAATTCGGTCGACTGACCAATGCATCGTGAGCGAGCTCAGAGCAGTCGAGTGCGGTCGGTATATGCAGCTGATGCCCTGCGTATGCAGGCGCTCTGCGGACGGCGAGGGCCGCTGCTTGCGTGCCATGGAGCGGCTGCACCCGACGTGCGCGCGCCAGCCGGAGGGCAGCGCCGTGCCCGGCTGCGACAGTGTGGCGCACCGCTGCCAGCGGCGGCCGGACGCCGGCTGTCGGCTGCGGCTGGAGCAGTACGAGCAGGCGTGCGCTGTGGACGCGCTGACCCAGCGCTGTGCTGGGCCGACGGCCGACTGTCGGCGCGCCCTGCTGGCCGTGCTGGGCACCCAGCTGCACAGCCGCTGCGCCTGCCGTGGCAGCAGCGCCGCCGCCCAGCACAGCTGCCAGGACTGGGAGCGTCTGCTCTGGGCAAACCCCTGTGTCGGTACGTCACTGCGTCACTGGTGCGAGGGAAATGTGTCTGGGCTGATGCTTCGTTCAATGTGTCATTCCACTGCACCTACTTTAAAAATGAAAATAAACCGGCGAAACTTTTGTAAGTGGAGCTTCGCTAGATGTGGTCGCTTTGGTTCGTGTTGAGAGATGTCCAGCCAAGTTAATTGGTTCCTGTCCTTATTAGTGGAAAGTCTGCTGTGCTCCGACAGTGAGGGGCAAACGAGACTCAGATGATTTGCCCTCGTCGACTGCAGTGTTCACGACAGCTGAGTCTGCATTGATGAGGGCTTTTCCAGCAGCGATCTGTAAATAGCGTTTATCGGATGCTTTCCCCGGACACTGGAGATGGTGATACAGATCCATTGTCCTCCTGTACTGGAGAACATTATTGACAAGCGCTGGCCCTTTCCGGCAGTGGAGGCACAGCGAGAGTTTCACCAGCAACGGATGACCAGCCTCGGGCCAGGGGGAGGCGACGACGACGATCCCAGCGCCCGCCGGACTCCGCCCCCGCCCCCGCCGCCCCCGCAGGCCGAGAGCCCGGCGCACCGTGTCTCCACCGCCGGCACGACCACCACCACCACCACTACCACCACCACGACCACAACTACCACCGTCACCACCACCACCACCACGGCGGCAGCCATCACGACGGCGCGGCGGCGGCCGCCTGCAGCCCCCGTGCCGACCAGCGCGCCGCCGCCTCGGCCGCCCCACTGCACCGCTCGCAGACAGGGCCACGTGCAGCGGCGCATCGCAGTGGGCTCCGGCGTGCGGGTGAGCGGACGGTGGGCCGCGCGGAGGCCAACACCTGAACCAACCGCACACCACGCCCGCTGCGGCCAATGGCATGATTCTGCCGCACCATGGTGCTGCTCCGCCCATGCTCCACTTCGCATTCGGCTTGATCTCGCATACAGCCATGCCGGCAGTTTGTTTTATTGTGCTGTCCGACTTATCCTGGCATTGTATTAGGTATTCTTTCTTTCTTTTTATTTGCACGTGCATTACTCAGCACTGACTGTCGAAGAAGGGCTGTGTAGCGCATGGAAGCTGTTTCCTATCTTTAGTTAGCCTCCGCGGGACTTATGTCCTGTACGCTGTGGGGTATGTGATGGATGCCTTTCCACCGTGCGCTGAAATGAAACGTGTACTTGCTTGAATGCCTCACGTGGGCTGTAACACTTTGCATGGCAACTTTTTAGGGAAGTGCGAGAACATTTGTGTTTATGTTCGTGTTTGCACTTGTATTTTGGTTTTGATCTTGATTTTGATTTGCATTTTATGGGTGCACGCCGTGAGGCAACTCCACACAGCATGACTTCTTTAAGTGAACAACGCTCACAAACAACACAAACGCATTAACTCCATCACGCATGGCAATATGAACAGAGTAGTCAGTCACCTTATCGGTACCTTGCTGCCTCCGCATCACACGGTTTCGAACCTCGATCATTAAAAACGCGTCGCGTCCATCGCCCGAGGAGTCGCCGGCAGATCATTACATGCAGTCACGATCGGGTAATTAAACCTCCGCCTTCCGGACTCGGAGCGTGTCGAGGGAGTCGCGAGACGATCACAGTGTCTAGTGGTGCGATGGTACATAACATGTCTGGCGATCTATGCCACTCTGGAGCGAGTGGCTCGAGCTCGGATGTCGTCAAAAATTTATAAGAATGGTGGAGCCGTGATAAAAGTACATATTTTTTGCTGAATGCCACTTAAGCTCCCGTAGAGCAACGCTTATCATATCTGGTCATATTGCCTTTGTCTCGGAACAACTCCGCCTGCGAAGTTTAAAAGCTTCTGAAGTCGGCCAAGTTGGGTTCTGCTGGTCTTTCCGTAAATGGTGATACAATACCATATCAGCGATACCACGAGTCCCTCAGTGGACCCCTTGCCACCAGCATCCCACACAACGGAGCTTTGGTGTCGTCAGCGTATCGAACAATGCTTGCGCCGTCTACACACGAAGACAATTTATTGGCATAAAGCGAGTACAGCGAGGGCTCCCAGAGCTGATCATTGGTGGTTATCGATAAGCCAAGGAAGCGATCGAGAAGCTGTATGCTTGACAGATGATCAGCACTCGTCTACACCAAAAAGCGTTGAATAAGAAGACACTACTGTAGTTATTGTTCTCTCTGTATGCGGTATTTAAAAAAGGGCTTGAAACATGCATTCAGATCATCTTCGGTATTAAACCAGTCATGGTATAAATTGTGAAACATCCACCCTCATTGTGCACTGAGCATGCAACAGCCCATGTTCCTAAATAATGATTTACCACAAGCTTGCATTTGATATCTTCACCTGACAACACTGGCCGTCGTTGCAGTACTATGTGCAGGACGAATCTCCGGACAAGTACCGGGTGCAGAAGGACTGCTCAGAGCTGTGTATGTGCCACGGCCGCCGCCGGCTCGTCTGCAACGTGCTCGACTGCGTGGAGAAGAAGAGCTGTCAGACAGACCTGGCCGTGTACCCGCACGGCGCGGCCCGACTGCTGCCCTTCAGGGAGGGCTGCATCTGCCACCACGGAGACTTTGTCTGCATGAGACCTTCAGCAGGTGCGTCCGTGAAGTTGTGCTGAGTTTTGATCGCGAATGCTTCAAGCTATCCGAATCGCAATGAAGCTACTGGGGTCGGACATGTTTGCAGTCTGATACTTGTGCTCGTTTGTCTTATGGGCTTGTTGGTTAGTTCGATGTGTTAACAAACGATCCTTGTTCAACAGATGAATACACTTTGCCGTTTGGCGTCTTCTTGTTCTTGGGATACAGCCGCAAGGACGAGGAGATTCTTTACCCACACACCCACAAGACGGTGGGGCGAAATACCATCCCAGAGCTTGAGCGAATACTAGAAGTGGTAATGAGCGAAGCGGGGCGAAATTTTCAGGCAAGTGACCAGTATAAGTGTGGCAAGCGACATGCATCTTGCATCCAGTGATTCACTGCTTGCTACCGTAGCTGGTCACTAAACGGCGGTTTTAGCATTCGGAACTACGCCCCATTCCCCTCAATTTCACTAATCACATTATCTATGATGGGTCCCTTACTGAACAAACGTATTGAAAAATGGCATGCAAAATGTTCTATTTCGTTTTTAAGCACGAAAACAGGCAAATTTGTGCACAGGGAAGAGGTCATACATTCATAAGGGTAGCCCAGTGCTGCAAACGGTCTCTGATATGTACTGCGCTGGCCTAATGTTCGTATAATGTTTCTATGTTCCCAATGTTTTCTCCAAATGTTCTAATGTTCTAATGTTCTCTGCATTTCAGGATTGGCCTTGCAAACTGTCCGTGAGGCAGCATTTTGAAACATCGGAAAACCTGATTATTCAAGCTAAGCTCGACGAGGTTGAGGAAATGTACAATCAAAGTTTAAGCCACGCTCTTCTGAAGAGTGAAAAGGTACATTTTTGTGCTTTTGGAGCTGATGAAACGATAACAAACCACACAATGCTCAACTAGCATCATTATTTAATGGTTGATCTGTCAAGGCCCTGCAGAGACAGAAAACACTGTGAAAGCACTAGACCTTTCTCGCCTCTCTTGTGGAAGCGAGTGTCACATGTGGTATGTGAGTGACGCATTCCCTTCTTGCTAACTGAACAGCGAGGTCGACATAGTTTGGCTGTAATTGTGTACCTGCACCTGCTCATCTTTGGAAACCAGTGATTTTAAGTCAGGTGTATTTGGAAAACTCCGCAACTCTGCATTGCCTATTAACCGCTGCGCCCTGCTGTTGAAATAAATGTGGCCGACCGGCCCACCTGCAGTTGACGTGTCGCTGTTAGCTCAGAACATTGACTCGTCCAATCCCAGCTAAATGCATTTCAATCTCCTGGCTTTTCTTAACTCCTATCGTTGCCCGGTAGCCAGGCGGCCTTCTTGGGGACCGGACGTGACACCACTCCCGCCCTCAGGTGAAGTGCACCGGTCCTCTGAGGGACATCAGCCGCATGGTCAACAACCGCGAGCCGGAGATCCTCTCGCACCCGCTGCTCTCCGTCTTCAAAATGGCAGACGTGGAGGTGACAACGCCGGACACGTCGGCCGCCTGCCCGGCCGCCGCCCTGGCCCGCGCGCCGCTGCTCGTCCTCTGCCTGCTCAGCGCGGCCCTCGCGTGACGTCACCGGCGCTGCACAGCCGCTGTCGGCGGCAGGAGCTGAGCGCCGGCTGCCGGAGCAGCGCGCCGGCGCTGCCGCTGTGGCGAACACCCCTGGCTGTGAGAGTGCTTGTGCACCGTCGTCTCGTGCGCTCCCGCTTGGACGATCCCGCGTCGTCCGCCCGGGGAGATTGCAGTGCTGAAGACGGGCGAGGCGCAGCGCTCTACTGAGTGTTCAGAGAGGCGAGGGCCTCGGTGCGGCGGCCAGAGGTCAATCGCGGCAGGACGTGGCCCCTCGCGTGCATGCATTTTGTGAGACTACGTCAGTAACCCGCAGATCCGCAATCACCAGGGAACTCCTTTGCGCGTGTGATATGTGATAGGCCTAGCCTGTGGTTGATCCATGAGCTAGCCCGGGAGCGAAGCATGTGCGCATGCGCGTGTGAGACGGTCACGTGGTTCTGGGGGGGGGGGGGGGCGTGGCTCACGTCTGGGTGACGCGGATCCCTTCAAGCTGATTCTCCGTGGCGCTGGTCACTGGCAGCTGGGCGCGGCTCCTGTGAAGTTGACTCCCAATGTCGTGGACGCTGACGCTCGTAGTTACGTCAGATGACTCGCTCAAGGGGGTTTCATTGTGTAGCGGCCGGGATGTTCGTGGTTGTTTTGGGGCTTGTTGAGAAGCTGCGTGCTTCGTTTGCGGAGCTTGATGCTGCGGCACAGATTATTGATGCCTGCTTATTATCATTTAGCTGAGAGGCAGCACTGCGTTTTAGGGTGGCTGCCTGGAGCCGTGTCTGCTGGCTCGTCTTCTAGTGCCTAGTGCCTCCGGGTCGATAGTTGAGACCGGACGGTGATGTGACCTCGACCCCGCTTCGCTGTAGGTCAGAGCAAAGGTCGGTGTGGGGCTTTTACGGTGCTGTGTTGTTCTGCACGGTGAAACACGTGGTCACACTGTACGCCCGTCAAATCACGCTCACAAATCGCTATACGGCAGCTTCAATTTATAGGTATTCTTACAAAGTAGACAAACGTTCACATACGCGTCTATCTCTGATGGCGAACGACATTGTCTGAATGTAATCACGGTAGTATGACTGGCGTTGAATTCAGCAATTGTTTTTGTTAACGATCCGTGTGACCATGGTAATGGCCCTCAATTTTTTTCATTGGGCGCTTTCCTTCTCGTGAGGAAAGTGGGACATCTTACCATATCGTGCGCTTTGGCTGTACCAAGACATTTACCTTCAGCTAAATTCGCAAACAGGCGGTTGGTCATGGAGGATCGCAATGTTAACTCACAATGCCGTCCGTGGTTGCAACCGGACGTTGATGTCGTTGTTTACAAATGGCTTGACCGCGCTGGTTGCAAAGCCGATGTTGAAAGATCATTCACCTAAAGCACGAAATGATTTAAGGTCATATGCATCGCAATCCTGGAAACCAATGTCAGTTTCATGTCTTATTGCTATCTCTGGGAGGCGGTTTTGCTATCCATATGCTTCGGTACGGTACTGAGCAGCGCAAACCAAGCCAAGAAATAAAGCACTAATCAGCGGTAAACCTACATCAGACTTGTTCGTCATTTCTGGGAAAAATCGACCTTCACCTCAAAACCCTTGCGATTCCTTAGCAGACACCCGGCGCGAGGAAGCGGACTCCACACGTTAAGCTGGACGTCGGTGAGCTAACACCCGCAGGCGATGGCGTCACACCGTCACCCAGTGGCCATGTTAGCACGTCGGCAACATATATTGCGGAGCGCCGGTCGTGAACAAGGTCAGCGGAGCAGCATCACAAACCTAAATTCGCAGCGACGCCTGATAAAACCATGGCAGCGCGCGAAATGCGGCGCAAGATTGTCCTGGTACATAAACCGTTACACTGGTGCGCGCAGTCTGGTTTATGCGCAAGCGCACATTGGTACACCAATGAGTGAAGCTTAATACATAAATGGTACGTGTAGACACATAACGACGTCAGTAATCGGAGACTCGCAAACGTCCTGCCCAGAACTCCTCAGCGGCCTGAAGGTAATAAGGTCGTGACGACCGTTCTTTACGAGCGAACCAATCATTGCAGGAACTGCACCATAGCCAACGATTTCCCACCACACGCTACAACACAACTAACATGCTCTTTATTCAAAACGAAGTATCCTCAGGTTGCGAAGCGGTTTGCTACTTTAGATAGCACAATGTCCTCTCACAAACGCTGGCGCTACTGGGCGCAGGAAAATATCGCTCTCTTACCAGTAGGCCAGGCTTGAGCGAAGGAAGAGAATCATAAGTCTGCCGGATATCACCGCGCCTCTGCACCGAGCCCTGTGGACTGCCGGCACTGCCATAGACACGCGTCACTTCAGCGGCTCCGCACCGGTCGGAGCTGTCGCGACACGCCGCCGCCGCCGACCGGGCAGCGGCAGCCTGACGGCCTCGCCTGCCCGGCCGCGTAGGCTAGCCCGGACCAGCCGGCGCCGCACACGAAGCGAGTACAGGAGGCCGAGGAGGACCCGGTGGCTCTTCAGTCACAGCACGTCGTGTCGCCGCATCGCGAGGACGCCGGCGGACCGGGCAGGGGAGGACGGAGGCGGCCACACTGCCGGGCGGAGACGGGGCCTGGGCGTCACGCCCGAACGCCGGCCCGCCAGACCAGGTAGACGAAGACCGGGACCAGCTGGGCCCAGCTGGGCCGCCGGCCGCCGGCCGCCGACATGTCGGGGATCGTCACCTCCAGATCGGCCATCTTGAAGACGGAGAGTAGAGGGTGCGAGAGAATCTCTGGCTCGCGGTTGTTCACCATGAAGCTGATGTCTCTCAGCGGCTTGGTACATTTTGCCTGCGGGGAGAAAGAGAGAGGCGAGAAAATAAAAGAAAGACAAATAAAAGGAGCATGAGAAAGGAAGGCTCACTTATAGCATATGCTCAAGAGTGCCGATTGCAGGACATCATGCAAGTACCATCATGAACTGCACCGACCACCGTACGCTATACGGGATCAGGCTGTTTTATATGGACGACATTTTGCAATGTATTTCGCATTTGTATGAATTTTAAGCCGTCATTCGAACTTCCTATATTAATCTGCATGGATTCCACGATCGAAAGACAGTAAAGTCATTGTGAACAGGTAAGGTATATCCATTGCAGATCACCTTGCACGGAAAAGGTAACAACATAGAGCTGCTCCAGGAATTTTACGTGTCCTCGGTTCTGCATATCATGCTCTCCTGGTTTGCGTGGTTAATCACCTTTTCTCTGTTAAGCAATCGTTGATTGATGCTCTGATTGTATGATTTCTCGACTTCGTCCAGCTTTGCTTGGATGATAAGATTATTCGATGACTGAAAGTGCTGCTTCACAGACAAGGAGCACGGCCAGTCCTGAAATGACACGGAAACATAATAATTCAAGAAAGCGTTTTTGTGTTTCTTGTCATGGCGCATACAGTAGTCCTTAACCCGGGTCCCCAGAAGGTTTTCTAAACGATATCTTCCCCCTGTAATTCATAGAAAGACTTTTTATTGCACCACTTGTTATCAGACTGATGCATTATTTGAGATTGAGTCTCGCGCCTTCTGGGGCATATTTCAAAAACACATTTCGGTGAAACCTCAGGACCAGACCAGCCACGTCACATGATAGCACTGGATAGTGCCCCTGCAGTACCACGAAAACCTAACGAGGATACCAGTTTTAGTTATTTTTTAGGCGGACTTGCACTGTTAACGTTTTGTTACAGCACCAACTTTTCTCTTTCTTTGTAGTCCTCAGAGTGTAGCCCTAGTCCGAGACAATGTGACGGACTAGATGCACCACTTTTGAGCTCTTTTAGTCCGTATATGGCGGACTTTGGACATAAACGCGGCACATCTACTGGTATGGATACCTTAGGAAGAGATTAACATTTGTGATTGGCACAGCGAGCGGCGAGGGCCGCTTGCCGAGAGGCGCATTGGCTGGAGTTTGAACCAGTGGGTCATAAGCCATTACGTCACTGCAGACCATACGATACTCTGTTTCCCGTAGCCAAAGCGCGCTTCGTAAGTGCCACTGTGTAAGTGTATTGCAAACATTATACAGAGCTCACAACTTGGGAAGAGCAGGACAAACGAAAAGTTATTACTTTAATGATTGTGAGCAGGTAGTCCAATGGATTTCTCCCCCCGGAGCGGCCAGTTGTAATCTAAATTCTGTACTATTCAGAAGGATTTCGATAAAAAAATGCGTCATCGATACGATTGGACGTGAGTGATCCATGCAAGGATAGACCAAAACGATGGTATACTTTTCAGCGTGGCTCCTGCCATTAGAGGCTTGATAGCATAGCATACATGTACATTAAAACGGATGGCTTGGAGCGAAATCACGAAGCAAGCGGGATACAGTTATCTCATACAAAAAAATAAAAGCAAAACTCTAAACGTACCTGCAGTCGCATGCCCCTCTTAGTCATTGTGAGTTCCAGTAAGTGTTCTAATTCTTCAGCTACGTGATCCTTGACCCTCTTGTGGGTGTATGGAAATAAAGCATCCTCATCTGTTTTGCTGTACCCAAGGAACAGGAACACGCCAAATGGAAGGGTATAGTCATCTGCAATAAAAGAAACATGGTATACATCGCAGAAAACGGTGATAAATGGCCAATCAAACACAGTCAGTGCCGCTACAAAACCACACAGACACGCCCGATTTTATAGGAATGGCCTGAAAATGCATGAGGGTCACATTTTCCGGAGCACTCCACTGGGTCCGCAAAATAACTCAAACAGCTTTACCGCACACACACCAAAGATGTGTGTCTCACGATGAGTACAAAGTCACGGACGCACCTGCTGAAGGTCTCATGCAGACAAAGTCTCCGTGGTGGCAGATGCAGCCCTCCCTGAAGGGCAGCAGTCGGGCCGCGCCGTGCGGGTACACGGCCAGGTCTGCCTGACAGCTCTTCTTCTCCACGCAGTCGAGCACGTTGCAGACGAGCCGGTGGCGGCCGTGGCACATGCACAGCTCTGAGCAGTCCCTCTGCACCCGGTACTTGTCCGGAGATTCGTCCTGCACATAGTACTGCAACGACCAACGCTGTAGAGCAGCGGCGCGGACAGCGGCGGACCCGGTTCACTGTCATGGCGGCCCAGCATGACCGGCGGTGGGCCCAGCTCGCTGCCATGGTGGCCCAACATGACCGGCGGTGGGCCCGGCTCGCTGTCGTGGTGGTCCGACATGATCAGCGGCGGGCCAGGCTCGCTGCCATGGTGGCCCGATATGGTCAACGGCGGGCCCGGCTCGCTGTCATGGTGGCCCGACATGGTCAACGGCGGGCCCGGCTCGCTGTCATGGTGGCCCGACATGATCAGCGGCGGGCCCGGCTCGCTGTCATGGTGGCCCGACATGGTCAACGGCGGTCCAGGCTCGCTGCCATGGTGGCCCAACATGACCGGCGGTGGGCCCGGCTCGCTGCTATGGTGGCCCAACATGACAGGCGGTGGGCCAGGCTCGCTGCCATGGTGGCCCGATATGGTCAACGGCGGGCCCGGCTCGCTGTCATGGTGGCCCGACATGGTCAACGGCGGGCCCGGCTCGCTGTCATGGTGGCCCGACATGGTCGCACCATGACAGCTACCATGAGCTAATGGAGATTCTGCTACATGGTCGCATAATCTCCCTTACTTCCCGGTAGCAGATTTTGAAGAAAAATCATAAGGTGAATTGTTTCATGCAGTAATGTTAGCTTTAGGCTATGTTTTGGGGCACCTTTTGGACTAACACTCTGGCCTTAAACCTCGTCCCCGCAGGGGGAGCCCCCTCCCCCATCTTTGGAGAATTTCTTGCGTCCATGTGTTGCTGTACTTAACGCTTCAACGCAATGGTGCTTTATTATCTCCACAGTCCAGAATGCATCAGAGGCGTATACCAGTGCACCGGCATCCTGCAGTACAATACACTTGGGACTTCTTAAACCAAATTGTTGGTTTTGTTCATGCAGAGGCGAGCTCTCCCAGTGAACATCAGTGCGCACTCTTAAGTTCTCTGTGACGATGGACGTTTGGGCGTGCGATCCGAGTGAATCATCCAATGAATATATCATACTGACGGTACTAACCGCTGAACTCACCCCAGCTCCGAAGTGCTGAGCTGAAAGCTCACCCTCTGTCCGGGTGCTGAGCTTACCCGAACACCAAAGCGCTAAGCTCAAACTGACTCCTGATGGCTCAGCTCACACTCACTCCGAAGCTCTGAGTTTATCCTGACTCTGGAGTGATCGCACCCTAACGCCGTAGCGCTGAGCTGACGCTGACTCCACAGCGCTGAGAGCTGACCCTGACCCCGGAGTGCTGAGCTGACCTGACTCCGCAGCTGAGCTGACCCTGACTTCGGAGTGCTGAGCTCACCCTGACTCCAGAGTGCTGAGCTCACCCTGATCCCGGAGCCGACTGGAATGTGGTCGACCACGGTGCCCTGTTTGCGGGCGGTGCAGTACGGCTGGGGCCGGCGGCCGACGGTGGCTCCTCTCGTGGTCGTCGTTGGCGGCGCCGGAGGTGCCGTGGAGCTCGGAGTGGTGGCGGCCGGGCGACGGAAGTCGGGTCGGAGGCCGGGGTTTGGACGTGGGTCACCGTGAGCGGAAGTCGCTTCGACCGGAGGCGAGGTCGTGCGGGACACAGCTGCACCTCCGTGGATAGCGCCCCAACGCAACTGGTGATGCTCGCGCTGTGACAGAGCTGCGGGGTACGAGATGCAGCTGTTCCAGGCACATCGTCACACATGAATCCAGCACACAATGCCGCCATCTCGTGCACCTGTAGGCTATCGGCATTCCATAATCATTATCAAGTATGCGTGGTGCGAGAAAAAAAGCGGAAGTGTTTGTCCTCTTGCGAACAATGCAGCGCCAGATTTGCATGCAGCCAATTATTTCTCATGTACTTAGTTTTAACCCCATGGTGCTGAGCCTGCTGTGACTAAATTGACGCAAGCTTGGACTGCCCGACAGTGCTGTCGCACGGTTCAGTGTAAGGAGATGAGGAATGAAAGTAGATAAGGAATCACAATCAGCATTATTACGCATACACAGATCAAACGTGATGCATAACATCATGCAGCACAGTCAATAAACCCACATAACAAACACCCACCAGCTGGAGATGCATTGGCCGAAAGGTGGTCACACATCGGTACAGTATTCCGACACCAGTGACGCAGTGACGTACCGACACAGGGGTTTGCCCAGAGCAGACGCTCCCAGTCCTGGCAGCTGTGCTGGGCGGAGGCGCTGCTGCCACGGCAGGCGCAGCGGCTGTGCAGCTGGGTGCCCAGCACGGCCAGCAGGGCGCGCCGACAGTCGGCCGTCGGCCCAGCACAGCGCTGGGTCAGCGCGTCCACAGCGCACGCCTGCTCGTACTGCTCCAGCCGCAGCCGACAGCCGGCGTCCGGCCGCCGCTGGCAGCGGTGCGCCACACTGTCGCAGCCGGGCACGGCGCTGCCCTCCGGCTGGCGCGCGCACGTCGGGTGCAGCCGCTCCATGGCGCGCAAGCAGCGGCCGTCGCCGTCCGCAGAGCGCCTGCACACGCACGGCATCAGCTGCCTATACAGACTGCACTCGACTGCTCTGAGCTCGCTCACGACACATTGGTCAGTCGACCGAATTTCAGTCAGGAACAAAGCCATTTGTGAAGCTTATGACACGACTTGCACTGACAGACCACACGCTTGCAGCCTGTAAATACTGAGCTACATGGGACTGGAGATATATCCAGTGTAGTGCTATGAATGAGCAAGGTACGCACGCGTATGGGGAAAGTGAGAAACCCTATGGAAAGGGTACATATCAGAGTCCACGGGCCAAAGAATTTCACGATAATGGAGCGGTCCCAATTGCGATGCTCACTCCTGGATGCACGTAACATGTAACACAGTTCTTCAGGAAAATCTTCCAAACTAAGGGCATTATCGTTTGACAGCCATAAAGCCCCAAACATTGTTTTCTAAAACCGTCACTGCTCAACAATTTTCCAGGGTCCCGATCGTCTCTCACCGACAGACACAGAAGGCGGCGTCCATGACGAGCACGCTGTCGGCCTGAGCGTAGAACTGCTGCAGCCGCTGCATGCACATGTGTCGGCTGCAGGCCGTCTCGTCACAGTCGGCCAGCACCGGCTCCAGCCGGGCGCTGCAGCGGTCGTCCTGCAGGCAGTTGTCCAGAGCGGTGTGGCAGGAGGACTGGAATACGTCGTCTCCCGGAACGCTGGTGACCCCGGTCACGTGGTGATCTGGAACAGCCGCACGATTAGTCATGTGACACGTCTACCACTGCCACGCTTCGCCACGGCACGTGTGATCTTCATGACTTTCCCAGTCCTGCGGCGATCAATCTGACACAAATGGGCAAACTTGTGGCCCCCTAGACCGGCTTGATTCAGTTCAATTGAGAAAAGTGCTGGTTCACCGAGATCGGAGAGCATGGCTTTCCATTGCACGCTATCGGAAGTTCAAGATGTTTTGTAACAAAAACACGCAACATCTGGCCGCAGTCCCACGTTCTCTCCGACTGTCAGAGTTCCATCGCATTAGTCCTACGTCAGTTAGAGGTACGGTACAGGACGCTCTGTCCGACCGTCGGAGTTCCATGACAGTAGTCCTAGGTCAGTTAGAGGTAAGCTACAGGACGCTCTGTCCGACCGTCGGAGTTCCATGGCAGCAGTCCTAGGTCAGTTAGAGGTAAGATACAGGACGCTCTGTCCGACCGTCGGAGTTCCATCGCAGTAGTCCTAGGTCAGTTAGAGGTAAGATACAGGACGCTCTGTCCGACCGTCGGAGTTCCATCGCAGTAGTCCTAGGTCAGTTAGAGGTAAGATACAGGACGCTCTGTCCGACCGTCGGAGTTCCATCACAGTAGTCCTACGTCAGTTAGAGATAAGCTACAGATAAATTCATAGCGCATAGCGGTTAATTCCTGGCGTAATGTTCACGAAACACTTGTTGCCGAAAAGGAACGTTGTGACATTGGGCGCCTTTATCATGAACTAACAAAGGCGTAATAGTGGGCACTATGAAGATGTCGGAAAGCATGTGAGTATGTGAGTGCAACGCACTGTTATGTGTGTATGCAGGTTGAATAAATGGTGTATTTTTGGATAAGTATCTACAACGTTGTAATTTCGAGTAAACTTAAGGTACGAATTAAGTTAAGATTATGATTTAGTTAGGAATTTTAATATGTAATGCTGGCAATAGTTCAATAAGCGTATTACTAAATATTACTAGAGCCTTGCGTCATAAAAACATTTCATTGGTCTCAACGAAATCTCGCGATCAGAAATGAGGTCCTTCTTGCCAGGTCAAAGAAGACCCCAGAACAACTGCAAGTGAGGGGTCACATGGGTACGCGTACTCCCTTAGGTCCGGGAGGCCTGAGGAGCCTCTATGCATCGACTATTGACCCGCGCCCGGCCCGGGGAAGCTGACTTATCCCCTGCGGTTTTTCTAACACAGATAAAAAACGAATCCTCGCAGCAAAACGAAATTTTTAGTACCTGTTTATATATGATGGCATTCTTTGAACGATGACCTGATCTGTCCTAAAAATTGTGGGGAACAAAAATGGTCGAGTGGACTCCCAACAGTTTTAACGCTTATTTCCGTGCCCTGAATATCCGTCCTGATGTGCGACAGCAGGTCTGAGCTGCAGCTATCAGAACGACCATTTTTGACATTTCGTGACCTCCGGTGCCCTTACATTTTACCCAAGGTAAAAAATTTGGCATTCGTTCTTCATAATTTGACGATAACTTCAAGAGTGTATCTTTGTTTTTCTCATTCGGCGTCTGGAAGCTGGACATCCTGGGAAAGTCAGCTGTCCTCGCCCCCCTCCCGGACGGGCGAGGTCAGACCCCCGGCCGGGCGCAGGTTAAGGGCCACCTGAGCCGATGAGAGCCTCCATGTTGTTCAGGCACCAACAGTACCGAACAGCCGGCTTCGTTTCGGTCTGTGCCCGAGGGCCTATTTCCCATGCAGACATAAGGCTGGGGCCAACGATTTTCGTTGGCCGGGCCCCTGAGTCAATGAGGGACCCTAATCGGCCAGGAATCATGTCTAACATGTGTTGCATGTTGGCAAGAGCCCCGAAGTCAGCTAGTAGCAGTGTTTTATGGGCCCGACGAGAGGCCCGAGGAGCCATTCGTGGCCGAAAACCAATGGCCCGATTGGAGGCCCGAAGGCTTCGAAGGGCTGACTGATGACCGATTAAGTGCCCAGGCCCTACGGGCCAGGACCTCAGATTCCAGCCAGGGCCTCTTGTGCCAACTAGAGACCACCTGGGACAATGGGATCCTCTTTTTCGGTTAGATGCCACCCACACCGAACAGTCGGCTCCGTTTGGATGCGAACCATGGGGCCTCTTTTCCAAGAAGTACAAGACCGGGGTGGGCTATCTACATTTATTGGGCCCCTGGAACGATGAAAGCACTGTGTCGGTCAAGGGGCCCACAGTGCCTAACAGGGTGCCCTGTGTCGACAATGGATCCGGGTCAGCTAAGGGAGCATTTGCTGAACAGGAACAAGGGCAGGGACGGGGTCTCGATGTCAGATGGCCTCTTGGATTTTTGGGGGCCTTCTTAAAATGAAAGGCGATCATAACACTTATGGCGAAAATCGACGATGAGGCTATGGAAGGGTCCTCTGTCAGTCAAAAAGGACCAAATACCTGGGGAGTCCTCCACTTTATTTCAACCAAGGGGCCGTTAAGCTAAACTGAAATACCTGTGCCCCTTATTGGACCTTCTGTGACAATGAGAGATATTTGCGCGCCAATAAGGGATTCTGTATCGAAATGGGGCCAACTAACCAGGTCAGAGGTAGTCAGCTACCCGCGTCAAGGAGGGAACCAATGTACGATATATTCCTCTAAGGGCCTCCGGATCGACCAAGTGACCCCGTCCCCCCCCCCAAATGTCGCCAGAATGGCAGCCGGTAAGCACCCCGTGCTGAGGACGGAATGACCTCCCTGCCTCCTGACCGGGAGCGAGATTATCGCCTTAAGTCTTTTACCCACGGAGCCCCTTTCCCAGAAAAAAGTAATAGTTCTCATGAGTGCTCAATAGGAAGGGCCCTGATCCAACAGCTCGAAATGAAGTCAAGTCTGAAAAAGGGCCGACCCATGTTTGTCTGAGGACGTCCATCTTTTTGCGGAACGACTAGTGAAACAAATTACCTGGACATGTTTTCAATCTGCGCACTTCCAATCTAAGGAGCAAGAACACCGATGGCCGAGGTCTCAGCGTCCGTGAAACCGAACGACCTTGGCAGCCGCAAATAACGCCTGGCGGCGAGCCCCGTACGCACGGGAACGACTGCCGTGAGGCGGTGCTTCCGAAAATCTGTCTAAACCAATTCGTAACATTGAAAGGTTAGACTGGTGGGTGTGATTCCCTTGAATAGATTTTAAGCGGTTCTCCGAGCATATTAACAGTTACAGCAACACATAGATAAAGATTCCATCTTTACTCTTCCCTTTCCACCACCAGATATCAGCACCAGTTTACCGATTTAAAAATCTTACAAACAAAATACACACCCAGACTGTCTTTTAAACACCCGAAGTGGTGTGAAAAGACGTTCAGAGGCACTTCTTTCAGATGCATCATTTTCGTTCCCCATGGGCGCCGTCTAGGATGAGCCGCTGGGCCGACGTAGCGAGGAACATGGAGACTACAACGTCGGGTGTCGGAGCTTTGTAACGCACGCGAGCGAATATGCTCAAAACTACGTTACATGTTTTTATCACTAAGCATTTCTGACTTAAGGTTGAGCATTCCCAGACGAACATGGGTTGGCCATTTTAACAATAACTTTAACCCAATTTCGATCTGCAATCTTTCTGGTTTCCGGGTCCTTGATATCGCTTTGTAGAGCCCCCAAAAATATATCAAAGCCTCTGTGAGCTATCAGTTCAGAAAGCCCAACGAAGAATTGTGAAATGAATAGCGCTGGGCGCTCATTTCATACCTGTCATTTAACGTTAATTTCCTTTAGTTTATGGACTTTAAATGGTGCATGTCAGCTTCTTGTACTTCTCAGATATCGGTCGGCCGGACACGAACGATTTGACGAGCAATATCAGTTTTCTCAAAATCCTTCTGAATAGCTAAGAATTTCGATCAGAGGTAGCGGCTCCTGCGGGAGAAAACTCATTGAATTTCCTGCTTACCACTATGGAAGAAATGCATTTACTTTGCCTTGTTTTTCCAATGTGTGTGTGTTCTGTAATGTTTGCAACACACCAATTCGTAAAAATAAATCATTATTTATTATGAGACGTAATTGGCCCCGAGGTTTCACTAGAGTATGTTTTTGAAATATGACCCAAAGGTGGAACACTCCTCTTAAAATTCAAATGTGATTGTTTGTTCTGGTCGGTACTGGTTCCGCTCCAGTTATAAATGATAAAACTTAAATTAAAACAGAGAAAATCGTGTCACCAAGAAATCAAGTGGGCTATATGCAGGATTTTTGGGGGGTGGGAGGTTTCACCATCAAGTGGTTCTTTGTGATCCCTGATTCCTCTTCTCCAGCCTTACCAAGATTCTGGTGGTGTCCCTGGTTGACCCCATTATGCAAAATCATAACTTGGTTATTCCTAAAACTGTTCAGCCAAATTTCCCATCAACTAAAAAATTATGGCACACAGCAGCGTATAACTTATGCAGACGTCTTTCCTGTTTAAATCTGAGCACGGTTATATGCATTTTCATGTTCTGATCACAAATTCACGATGCAGGACCTCGTTAACGTGAAACTCCGTCGTACGCGATAGGCGGATTCTTCGGTCACCGAACGCCTCCAGCACCGGCCGTGAACGCCGTGCAGCCTTCCTAAAAAGGTCATCCTCTTTCAAAAACCAGGCATGCTAAAAATACGTTTTTTGTGTCAAAACATGCGCAATGAATGCTCAGAAAATATCAAAAACTTTGGCCAGCAAATATTATATGCCGGAGAGACACCTTCAGAAACCCTTAGGGAGCGTATCGCCCCTCCCCCCTTCCGTATCAAGGCGAGGGTCAACAAAATCTTTTTAGTTCATACAACCATTTAATTGAGCACGACTTTCACTGTTCCATGTTTCTCGCGGTTAAGACCGGGTAGCTCGTGCTTGAGGTCCGTGAGGGAAAGGGAGATTTGGGTTCATTTTTACGTGGTTACTGCTGTCCCGATGCGTTGCATACTGGATTACAGGCCCAGCGATTTCTGTACAATAATTCCGTTTCGACAGCGTAGTTGGTTTTGAATATTTTTCCCTGGTTGCCCAGATCTGACGTCGACCACTGCCCGCGATATGCTTTCCTCCGTTACAAGCAAATGATAATGTTTTGAAAGAAATGAGAATGATTTTCAGCTCTTTTTGACGTTACAAACATAAACACTTCGCGGAGCTGGTATTTAGGTACAGTGTGACAAAACCAAACCGCATACCTAACTTTGCGGCACGGCTGTCAAACACAGGCGACGTTTTGAGCAGTTAATAGGGGGAACTGTCACTTCAGCATAGCGGCGCACGCAGCAATAATGTGTACATTTTTCATTAAGCAATCTTCCAGCGTGTCGATTCCACTCACGCGTAATAGTCTGATGACGCCCGGGGATGGAACTGTGCCCCTGCTCGTAGTGGTGTCCATGCAGCGTCCGCTCCATGCTGGACGGCTGCGGCCGCTCAGAGCTCATGTTAAACAGCGGCGCCACCAGCAGCGGGTCGACGCGGCGTCGGCTGGCGTTGGCGCCGCCCAGACCGTCCACTGAAACACTGAACGGTGACGAGGCGGCCGGCCGCCAAGGGCCGGAGCTGCCGGCTGCAGCGGGGGTGCGTGCGGAGGTGCCGGGAGCGGGGACAGCAGGGCGGGGACGGGTGGTGCAAACTTTGTGCTGGGAATGGTGCCGGTGGCGGGCACAGCCGGGAGAGGACGGGGGACAGGTCGTACGAAGTTTGTGCTGGAAGGGGTGCCGGCGGCGAGGCCGGCCGAGCGAGGACGGGGACGGGTGGTGGGAGCTTTGTGCTGGGAGTTGTGCCGGGTGCTGGTGCTGGTGCCGTTGGTGCGGAGGTGCTGGTGCACTCAGTCTGAAACAAAGCACCAAAGAATGTCTGAATGCATTTCAAGCTACTTAGGCATTACTGCGCCAATCAGCTAAAGGAAACAAGCTGCTTTTGCCCGGTGAGTGCTCCCTTATTATCGGCAAGCCGGAAATGATACGAGCCAAATTTGATACGAAAGAATTTTGACCCTGTAGTTTTGAAATGGCAGCGATGCAAAATAGTTTGACCCATCCTCTGAGAAATAAATGATCTACCTGATCATTTATATCATAGACTGCATAATAATTTTCCTTTTACAGTGCATGGGTCCGTACAAGCGATACTTTCAAATATAAGCTAACTAGATAATACTCGTCTGTTAAGTTTTTGGGAAATGAAACATGTGTAATTATCGGAATTTGAATGTGCAATTTTCACACGAGATGCAGAAGAGACCGGATGTTAATGATACAGTTTTAACGGCTTCAGTTTTTGCAGCATTTGCTTCAGAAGGACGCCTTTCTGCTTAACATATATAGTATTGTAAGCCAAAATTTGTTTCTCATATGTAAATCAAAATTGCAAAATTTTGAGTAAATTTGACGAATGTTTTAACATAAAAAGCCACAAAGGTCCAGTCAAAGGCGTCTCTTTTTGTGTGTCTAGCTTACAAAATGCTTTTATTTGCAACTGGTCCCAATGGTTGAGTATAAACGTAGACGCTGTAACATTCGCTGGTTCTGTTAGGCGAGTTTAACGGAGAAATCATATCGTACCTTCTGAATTAGGTGGAGCGATTCTGTCTTAAGCAAAGTTGGTGAGGTGATGCTATCCTAGTTGAATTAGGTGGGGTGATTCCATTATGCGAAAGGTCTAGGAACAATGCAAACTGCGTAGCTCCCCCCCCCCCCCCCCCCCCTGTAGCCACACAGAACGTGCTATTTCAGATCAGCGCTGTTTTTATCGTGTGAACCAATAGCAATATGGTTCAAACACTTGTTACAGAATGTCATGTTCGGTTTGCGACTGGGCAACGGGCGCGGGCCCGAAGGACTGGCCGTAAGCCACATTAAGGATGCTCTCCCACCCGTGAGGCCGTGACCTGAAATGTTAGTCGGGGAGTCTCTTGCATCGATTGGGGATGCCTTGGGTAGTGCAGGCCTCCATCCGCCCCGAGACCGTCAACACCGAATCACCGACTACGTATCGGTCTGAGCATTAGGGGTCCCTTTCCCAAGCAAGAGCAAGGCCGGACCTGCGACTTGCGTTAGTTGGGGTCAATGAAACCACGAGGGTGTTGGTCAGGGCTCTACAGTGCCCAACAGGGGGTTCTGTGTCGGCAAGTGACCCGAGTCACCAGGAGCCGTGTTTGCGGTGGTCCGAAGACGGCCCGAAGGGCCCCTGGGGACCAAAGATCAAGCAGCCAGTTGGGCTCGGGCTTGCCCCTCACCCGTAGTATCGTGACCAGAAATATCAGTCAGAGGGCCTCTATTACGGTCATCTTGTTAGGGTCCTCTATTTCGATCATATAGCAGCTCGACATGGCATTAAACAATCGTCTCCACTTCCGTCTGTGAACTTGGGACCCATTTCCCAAGCAGAAACGAGGTCGAGGCCTGTGATTTGCAATGACCGGGGTCCCTGACACAATTAAGGGCTGTTGTGTCGGTCAGGGGCCATCAAACTTAACAGGGGTTCTATGGCGGCAGTTGGCCCCGAGTCAGCCAGGAATGATGCTCGAGGGGCCCCAGGAAAAACCGAAGAATCTCACGAGACCGAAGACCAAGGGCCCGATTGGATGGCTGCAGTGCCTAAAGGGCTGACTCCAGGCCACATTAAGGACACCCGCTCGTAGGGTCGTGATCTCAAATGTCAGTTAGAGGGCCTGTTGTGTCGATTGGGCACTCCTGAGACCGAGCGTTCTTCTGTTCCGGCCAGAGATCACCAACACCGAGCAGTCGGCTGTTTGTCGGTCTGAGCTCCCGGGGCCCATTTCCCAAGCAGCGACAATGCCGGCCCGTGATTTGCATTGGTCGGACTCGAGGCCACCGCAACAATGTGGGGCTCCTGTATCTGTCAGGGGCCGAGCGCCTAATGGGGTGTTCTATGTTAACAAGAGTATTCGAGTCGGCCAGGCGAATATTTGCTCAGCAGGACCGGCGACAGGATCCCGAAAGACAGAGGATCTCTTGCGATGATCGAGCCCTCTGACAATGAGAGGAAACATGAGAACTTATGATGAGTGTTCACATTGAAGCAATGGAAGGGTCCTTTGGCAGTCAGGGTCCCCATTACCGAACGGTGGGTCCTCCAACCCAATTCCAGCGTGGGTCCGTTAACCTGAACCGGAGTCTATGTGCCAGTTATCAGACCACTTGCGGCAACCAGAGATGTTGATGCGTCAATGAGGATTATTGCGTCGATCCGGGCCAATTGTGCGGGTCAGAAGGCCTGCCGTGTTAGGGAGGGGACCAATGCGATATAATGTATCCCTCTAAGAGCATCTGGATCAGCCAGGGGATCCCGCCCCGTGTCGCCAGAATGGCACCCGGAAGACACGCTGCAATGGAATGGAACGGACTTTCAGCCCTTGACCGTGAACAGCATGTGCCCCCAGGTGCTCTACTCAAACGGGTTCTTCGCTCGGAAATAAGGAGTCCCATTAGTGTTGAATAGGATGGATCAACATTTATTCAAAAGCAAACAAGGCCATCCCATGTTTGCCTGAGAACATTCATTCTTTTGCAAAATCTATTAATGAAACAAACGACATCAAAAGGCTTGATCCTGTGCGCCCGAAATCTCCGGAGCAAGGACAGCAATAGACTGGATTACAGTTTCCGCAAAACAGAACAGCGCTGGCTACTGCAAGTGTCACCAGGCGTCGGGCGCCGTGCGCCCAAGAACGACCGTTGTGAAATAATTGTTATATTTTTCGAAATCCCATCGTACCGTTTTGAGATTGGAGTGGGTGCATCTTTTTTTACAACTTTGAGGATACCCTCTGGGCAGATTAACGGTCACAGCAACACGAACAATAAAATTCTACCTTTACTCTTCCAGCGTCACCATTAGGTTCCATCACCACTTTACGGTGTTGTGAAGGCCAATTCGTTTTTATCACCACTAAAAATTTCACCGGCAAAATATAAGCCTGGAATTCCTTCTACGAGTACGATTGGATATCTAATAGCGTTCAAAGTTACTTTTTAAAAAGGTCATCATTTTCGTCTACTTGTTGGCCACGACTTAGTGCCAGCCGCGGGGCCGACGGCGCGTGTGCCATGGAGACTGCATTAAGTAGTGACGAGGTTTTTATTAAGATTGGCGAGCGCGCATGTCCAAAACTGCGTCACATCAGCATTTATTGATTCTGACTGAATATTGAGCATTTCCAGAGAAGCATCACTTGGCCATGTTAGCAAAAACTGTTGAAGCATTACGATCTACCCCCTTCATGCGCGGGTCCCTAACATCTCCGTACCACCCAGATAAAAATTTTGACGAAGCTCCTCAGTTATATCGGTTTAGAAAGAGTCCACTGGATCAACGATAGGTGAAGAGTGCTGGCGACATATTTCATGCAACAGTTCAAGGCATGATTTCTTCAGTTGATTGACTATAAAACTCAAGAAGAATTTATCTCGCGGTAGCTCCTCGCTTCTTTTCTAGTTATAAAAGGTAAAATTGAAAAAATCAGGGCCAAGCGTATCCTTATTCACAAATTAGTCATACGCAGAAATTTTTCTGTGGGGAGGGGGATTCTTCAATCAGCGAGCGCAATGAAAAAGTTTACCAAGCAATTCCACTTTCTGGGAAATTACTGGCTTTAACGAACACTGCACGGCGATCCACGGGTGACGCGGGCGACAGGCGGCAACCAACAATCCGTCTAACACCGTTATATTAACGGGTCCCTGGATCATCAACATGCATAAAACATCTTTATTAAATACGCGCCCGGATGGCCGGCAGGATACCCTTCGTTCGGGTGGGGTTCAGTTTGACCCCCATGAGATCTCGGGAACTAGGGATGCTAGCGATATCAAATTTACAGGGTGTGTTGACCTGTACGTAAAATCACTTAGGTCAAATTTTAATGTTACCACATCATAATTTTTGGATCAAATAAGGTCGAACGAGGTCAATTTTTAGGTTGGTCTCCAAAGTGCCCACAGAACCTAGATAACTGTTTCTAAGCAAAAGTTCACAAGCTCATTTAAGGTCAGTGACCTCTTTGACCTTTTGAAGGTCATGGTGACCAAAATCATACAAGACTGCTCTGAGTTTTGCCTTTAAATAAGCGACAAAGATTACGCTAGGAAGTATGCTCCTAAAAACAACATTTCAACTTGGGTTATCTTAGGTCAATGGCCTGTTTTCCCTCCAGAAATTCCATGGAAGATGTATAGTGCGGTTCCTGCGATCAATAAATTAGAAATGAGCGCTAGAAACTATCCCTTACAGCAAGCGCTAGAGTAATAAAACAGAGTGGTTTTCACCTTGGTCTGGCCTTCATACCTGACCTTAGCAACGTAATTTGCTCATTCCATATTTGCGTTGCCTAAGAAATCATCTCATAGATGTATGGTTTCGTCTAACACTCCGTTGTAGCATCAGATTGAGCGATTCCCTAGAAATTGCTCCTCGCTGAAATCATAGCCTGACTTTGACCTGCCATAGGCCAGCGACCTTACAAGGTACATCTAAATTGTCTGATATCAAACGATCTATCATTCAATTGTCTACAGCTATGCAAAAGTTGGCGTGGCTACGCCTCGTCTTTCCGAAACCATTTTGGAAAAACCTTTGGGGCCCAATTTGACCCCCACCCGAGCGCGTGTTAAATTCTGTGCCAATGCGGAGCATGGTATCGCACAAAAGGGCGCGTTAAGCAACGCGTTTGATTTCCAGGATCATTTGACTTTGGTCTGGCTTACTAGAGGAAGTCGTTGACCTAGCAACATGTAACATGTTTCTAATCGCAAGGTGTTGTTGAAACCCATCCACTACTTCTTTACTTGAGACCCTATCTCTCTGAGTTTGGAAACAGCAGAGGAATGGCATAGACCTCTCATTTTTCTCTATCACTTCTCGTTATGAAAAGCGGCTAATAAATTGCAATGGTGCAGTGCTCCGCATCCCAGCGCCAGTGCTTCCCAGCCTTGCGTCGAGTACGCTGTCTCTCCTGTGCCCGACACACGGCCGCTCTAGTGCCGAACGTGCGCCCACCCTAGTGCTGGCCACGTGGCCTCTCCTGTGCCGGACATGTCTTAAATGAAAATCATGGTTAATGCCACACTGCAAACGTGCAATTTCGGAGGGACGCTATTTTTATCGAGTGAATCAATTGCATTATGGTTTGGACATTTGTCACAAGATGACATGTCCGGTTTGCGAATGGACAACGAAGTATAATTTCATGCCAAAATGGATTTTACATACAATGAAATCGACTACAGTTTCCGTAAAAGCGAAAGGCGTTGGCTGCTGCAGATAACATCAGGCGGCGGGCACCGGGCGCGCGCAAATGACCGTCGTGAAATAATGATCCAAAAAGTGTTTTGAAATCATTCGTACCTTTCAAGTATTAGGCGGAGGGGGAAAATTTCTAAAATGTATGTAATATGGAGGCTGCTATGTGAATACATTAACAGCTCCAGCAACACGCAACATAAACACTTAATTTTACTCTTCTGGTTTCACAACCAGATGCCAGCACCAAAACGCGGTGCTGTATATGGCAATATGTTCCTTTTATGAATCTTAAAATTGCACAGGCAAATTACCTGCCAATATTGTCTTCTGAACGCACGAACTGATGTTCTAAAGCGTTTAAAGGGACTTTTTCAGGCGTGCCATCATTTTCGTCCTGTTGTCCGCCGCCTAGTGTTAACCGCGGCCGCCGCTAGCCTATTGTCCGTCGCAGCGCGGTCTTACGGAGGCCACAGCGCCGGGCGCTTGCTTTTTGTTTCTAAGGCTTTTGACGCGCATGTGCAAAACTGCTACAATATTTCTTAAGTTCTAGATTCTGACTGTTGGTTGAACATCCCGAGAAGAAAATGGGATGGACGTGCTAGTACAAATTGTTCACTCCATTTTGATCTATAGTGAACCTTCATGGTGACCTCAATATCTCTACACAACCACATACAAATCTGGCAAGCCTTTGAGTTCTATCGGTTTGAAAAGTCCACTAACCATTGCATCTTGAAAAGTGTGGGCGGCTTATTACATGCCGTCACTTGACGCCCTCTTCCTTCAGCTTACTGGCTTCAGAATACAAACAGAATTGCGCCTTCAGGTAGTTCCTCTGTCTTCTGTTTAAGAACTTTCATTTTTAAGGTATTTAACTCCCCAGTTAAAGAACTTAAAAATGAAAACAAACAAGGAAATCGGCTCCGTCAAAATGAAGTGTGCCAAAGCCAGTCATCTTAATGGGAGACCTAGCTTCATGAGGGGTTCCTTATCAACTATTCCTCCTCCCTACCAAGTGCTGGCTGCGCTCCTGGCGCACACGGCAGATTCCATGCTGTTTAATTATCCACAGAGATATTTGTGCCATCCCTGTCCCTTACTCATTTACAATGGCGTAATAATGCACACCGACCACCTCATCTCGTATTGTAACACAAGGTACGTTCGGCGCACATTCTAACTTTGTCCTCTTTCTTGACAAATTTCCAACCAACAGATTATTTAAATTAGCTTTCACAGCTCACAGAAACTGAATTTGCACCGAATAATGACGGGTATGAGCGCATGCTGGAAACTTACTATTAGTCGAAACAACAAGGGTTTTTTACTCAACGATTTGAGATGCGGGGGCAGCAGCATAAACATGGCGCGGGCAACTCACTTGACAGCTGTACAAATCACCACTATACTTTTGCCACAAAAAGCTTTTACAGCTTTGTAATGTCGACATTGCAGTTGTTTATCCGTGTAATAAATTTCCCCAGCCACTCTTACTTACATATGCACGGATTGTTGTGCACAGTCTTGAATATTTTCTCGCAGTTCTCTTCGTGTAAGTTTGGGCAGATGCAACCGAATACAGGAGTTAGTTTCAGCTGATTCCAGGCATCCGCGCATGCTGAGCTGAAAATCAGGGCACGTGACTATAAAGCACTGGACATTCAACAGGTAGACATCAGAGACATAAATACTCCATGATAAAATTAAGGTAATGAATATGATCGCAGCAAACACGAAGGTTGTATAAAGAGCAGGATTGCAGTTGAAACTAATTTATATATATATATATATATATATATATATATATATATATATATATATATATATATATATATATATGTATATATATATATGTATGTATATATATACATATATATACATATATATACATATATATATATATACATATACATATATATATATATATATATATATATATATATATATATGTATGTATATTGCCAAGGCGTGCACAGGTATCGTTGATACGCCATCAACAGTAACGATCAGGTACTCCTGAGCCGTGTGTCACTGGGCAGTAATTACAAGACCACGGCCTGACTAGAGGCACACCGCTGCCACAGACCGCCGTGCCATTCAGTCGGCCTCGGCGGCTGCTGTCTGTCGTAGCTGGCTCAGTTCGGTGGCGTCACATCAGCTGTGGCGCGTGCCCGGCTCCGGCCGCCGCTCACGTGACCGCCGACGGGGGGCCGCGCCCGTCACAGACGTTCGTCACAACGACGGCCCGCGTGACGACGCGACGGAAAACGTCCGTCACAACGTCCATCACGACGCTCGTGTAGCGTGCACTCGACTTGCTCTGTCCGGACGCCCCGGGCGTTACACCATCGAGTGGCTCGTGGGGTGGCACGAGTAAAATGCGCTTATGACATATATATATATATATATATATATATATATGTATATATATACATATATATATATATATATATATATATATATATATATATATATATATATATATGGGGGTTGTGGCGTGGGCGTGGTTAAGGTAACATCGCAGCCATGTGGGACTGCGATGTTACCATAGGGACATGTGGCGTGGTTAAGGTAACATCGCAGCCCGCTAGAACATCATGCATGACTGCTTGGCACCAACATGCCCTCAACACCCATGTACCATTAAACATGCAGGCGATCAGCGTAAGCACGCGCTGGTTTGTATGTCCTAACAGCTATGGACAATCTATATGATTGCAATGCAATGAGTTGTAATGCTTCAGTAAGATATGAAACGCATAGGTAGACGTAGAGTGACAGTTTCTAACTGAGGGTTCATATCACTGTGCATGTTCATGCAACGACAGTATGTATGCTTCGCGTTTTACGTTGCATGCTTTGCGACTTTGTTACTTCCCTGTCCAGCGTCTAGACGAGAATTTGTGTCATTCGTGTTCAAAGTTTCACCAGATGGAGCCACCTGTAGGTAAAATGATACCCTGTTGAAGACTTCTTGGGTATGCAAGCAAACAAAGTGGTATTCTTCCCTGGTGGAATTTGTAGCATGCGGATTTTAAGGCGCATTTTTGTTTTCCTTGCTCATAAGAAATCAAAGGCACGAGAACGAGTTACATGGCATTCGTGACAAATGGCATTGCAAGCAGTGATCGGCCCCGTCAAAAGCAGTAGCTGGCTCTGTCAAAAGCAGCCATTGGCCCCGTCGGAAGCAGTGGTCGGCCCCGTCAAAAGCAGCAGCTGGCTCTGTTAAAAGCAGCGATTGGCCCCGTCAAAAGCAGTGGCTGGCCCCGTCAAAAGCAGCAGTGTACTTGACACATCTATATAACACCATTTAGAGCCAGTGACCTTTCTGTGTAACAGGCATACCAACTAATGCAACAAATGCGGCAGGCGTGTGGGTGCTAACAGAAAGCTTTTTTAAAGGATTAGCTCATTTGAATGTCAAAAAGTAGGAGCCTGGAGTCTTCAAAACAAACGTGGGTTGTGTGAGAGACAGAGCCCCGGTCAGGATCCAGCAGTCAGCCGGGGTGGTCAAGGGTCACTGGAAGTCATTGTTGCGACGTTCAATAGCGGGTCGCCGCTCCCAGCTGCCAGCTACAGGTGACACCATGCAAAGCGAAAATATGTCGAGCACTGCTGATAGAAGCTCTGAAGTACAAAAAAATCATGAATTACATTGACCTTTACACGGCGAGCGCTTTTCTGAGGCTTGCTATATTAAGAATGCTTAATGAAGTTGCTGAGATAGTAGTGCTATTTATGTAGTTCCATGTCTGCCTTTCGGATGGTAGGAATCCCCAGAGGAACCTGGCTGTTTCTAAAAGCAGTGAGGCTACAGCCAAGCAGAACACATCGGATAGCCCGCATAAGGCTGCAGGGGAGTGACGTCACTGAACGTCCGTGAACGTGACCATTGATGGGTCAGACTGCTTTGACGGCAGGAAATGTGGCATTCTGTAGAACTCGACAATGATCCATGCACCACTACATCTCCCAGTGGATGTGACCGGTCAGTTCATATCAGGTCAAGCAAGTCAAACCTTGTGTGTCTGGGCCTCCTTGCGCTATCTCGAGAAATAAGCCTACGCGATAACGAAACGAACTGTCCTGGATAGCGTTGGTCAAACTGGGCTTAGCATATCATATGCACTTTACCTATATTGACGTGGGGAGACCCAGCCTCAGTGAACTTTGCAGTATCCCGATATATTGTTGGCACAATGACATAAATACAGGAAAGCCTTTCAGGGCAAGGGCTATTTTCCACGACAATGACCTAAGATGTTGAGCGCATTTGCGAGGAAAATGATGCATATAAGACATTACGAATAGCCTTATTCTTCGTAGAATAACCAGGAAAATGGGCAGATAGGTGTTTTGACTGCATGCCTTTATCGAAACGAATACTAATCGTAAATTCCACGGCAACCGTCCATTCCTTTAGGGTGACAAGGATCATAGTTTCGTAATTCTTGTTTGCAGAAAGTCAGGCGAATTCCACCGTTTTTACGGCAACACCCGCAAAAAGACCTGCTGGCTTGATTTACGCATACTCTGCGGACGTGAGGGCTCAAAATTGATAGCTTAATGTGTACCGCACGCGGTGCCAGACCTTGCGCATCGCCTGTTCTCAGACAATTTACACCAAAACGTCACAACTCACAGCCAGGAGGTAGCGGTTTCCACCTGTATGAAAGGCCCTTTAACGCTGGCATAATTAGAAGGAGTCGTAATTTAATATAAGTCTGAAATGCTCGAAAAGCCAATGGACAGGAGCGAAGCTCGTGGAATGCTGTGCGGTGCATCAAAATGGCCGGTAATTTTCAGTCGGGCAGCGTTTTTGTTCTGCAATCTGGTACATATTGGTCATTTTATGTTTACGGTACTTGAAAATCTAGTGCCAGGGGACCAAATTTGTAACATCAGAATTAAGAAGCCGCACGCAGTAACGAAACAAAGGCGCTTATGTAGCAAAAATTCAGGAGACATTTTGACAGCCCTGACGACAAACGATGGGTTTCGCTCCCGTTTATCTTGGTTTTGTGCATTTCAAAAAAGCATTCAAGTACGCCCCTGTCTAATAATGTCAACGTGGCAGGAGCTAATGAATCTTTCGGTTTGCTTGCAATCCCCGCACAGGACAAAGTAACCTTGCAAACCCATTTACAGCTAGCGTACCCTGATGCACCCCATCAAACATCGCTTCGTCTGCGTAAGGTCATTCATTTCTCGTGAGTGACCTTGAAGCTAAGATTATATTGAGCTTGATAGATAATTATTATCACCTTTGTAAGCTTTCCTTCAAAAATAGGCATGTATGCGTCATTTGTTCACATTAAAGGGAGTGTTCCGCATTTCAATGGGGTTTTGAACTGAAACAGCCATCTTGAAGATCATTTGGTGTAGTTCATAGCCCAATCGTGATTCGTTAATTAGTCCATAGCACAATTTCGCGCTACCTAGCTCAGATGCATTAAGATTACAATGTTTTCATGCATATGTGAGCCTTTGTGCTGCGAGTCACAAGTTGGTCACGAGAGTTTGCATATGCAATCGGCCTCAGGCATCCGTGTGATGTTTGCTCCGAAACTATTACAAATTTATTTTTTCGCGCACTACTAGACGAATTATCTTTGATCTTAACAGCTGTCATTAGGCGCAGTGAGTGCCTTAGATAATTAAAGCAAAAATTGTTATGTCGGAATGAGCCACCGCGCGTTTACTGTGTTCCACGTTTAATATATGAACCAGGTGCACAGCACATATACTTTAACTACGTGTTCATCGACATCCACCGTGTGTCGCTCTGGGGTCCACATTGCCAAACAAGGGGTCCGTTGTTGGTCACCAACACCCAACAATCAGCTATGTGTCGGTTTGGGTACTGGGGGCTCATTTTCCAAGCAGGGACACGACCGGGGGTCGTAACTTACACTTTTCGGTGCTCATAAAACAATGAGCCTCCCCCCCCCCCGTGTCGGTCAGGCCCATAGTGCCTAATGGGGCATACTGCGTTGACAAGAGTCAGCACAGTATGCCGGAATACATTTAATGGACAGGGACAAAAATGGCCGCCCAAAGGTCAGAGGGCCCGTAGGGACGGACGGGTCCTCTGATTATGAAATTAGATATGAAAACTTAGGATGAATTGGCCTACAATGGGACAATGAAGGCATCGTATGTCATGCAGAGGCCCGAATACCGAAGAGGCCTGATCCCTATTTTAGCGAGGGGTCCTATGCCTCCGGGCCGTCAGAACGGTCGTCGGCATGTATCCCGGGCTTGGACAGAACAGCCCTTCAGTCCTTGACCTGGGTACGCAATGTGCCCATTACTCTCTAGTTTATTGATCCACGGGGCCCTCGCCTGGGATAGGTAAACGATCCACCCTATTGAACCTTAAGTGTTCAATAGGGTAGATCTTGTGGCACTGGTGGATCTTGCGGAACTGGTTTTGACATGACTAACGTACGCCTGACCGCTTGTTTGTCCGTCATTTTTGGAAAGGACAAGTGAAAAATGATTTGATATAACGTCGAGCATGCGCGCTCGCAATCGTTAGAAGAAACACCGATATGCGGCGTTGCAGTTTCCATCAAACCTTACGGCGATGGCCACTGCAGCTAACACCACGCTGCGGGCGC